TAGCAAACAAGACTTCCCAGGTATCCTATGATAGCCAGCAAACACCTGGGAAGTCTTGTCACAGCACCATGGCCGGCCAGCACAATGCCTCAACTTCCCGAAGACCAGCTGACCCGCAGATATCTCCCTACCTCCTCCATAACCTCCACAATGTCCCCGATGTTCTTCCCCCAAACTACGCCCACTCCTCTCTCCTACCAATCCAGTCAAGGCAGCAGGACGTCTGGCCCCACCCATTCACTGTCTCCACCTACAATCCGGACATTGTTCCGGAGATTGATTGTTGCCCCATCCGCTCCAGTTCCCTATGTGCCGGGAGGATTGTAGGCCTGCTCCTGACCGGGCCCCCCTCTGTTGCAGGCCCCATAGCGCCCGCATGGGTCGCTATGACGGTAGTTCTGCCCCTGCCGTAACATAAAGAGCCTAAACTAGGAAGTTCCATGCAGGATTAGCATGTATTCTTTTAGTGACGACCACATATATACAAATATTGAAAAGAACTTTTGAAATATGAACATGTTATACAATATATTGCACGTCTTCATATTAGATTATAGTAAGTGGGTTTAGAACTACTTTAGATGTTTCATAATCTTTGCAACTATGTAGTGAAAGTTTGAGAAAAGGGAACATCTGCTGAATGATCACATATATTTTTAAACATGTGAATACATGAGCTTCTTTAAATGAGAACCGTGGAGCGAGTGATTTACACTCATCCTCATAGTTAGAAACTGTCACACATTGACTCTATAGATCATCTCCCTGCAGAGAGCAGTGACTGTCGGTCACCCCTCCCTGCAGGGATTTCCCCCTCCCCTCTCCGATCCTCCAGCCCTGAGTGGAGGAACGGACACAGCCTCTAGATAGGCAGAGCCCGCTGTCAGTCAACCAGCTGGGTGGATTTTGACAATATTGTCGGGATCCGTCCTGGCTGCGGCGCTCTTAGTATATAGTGGGCAATGGCCCACTATATAATGAGCTTTGGGTCACATGAAGAGGCTAGTATATGTTCTCCCGTGACCCTAAAGACAGTTATGGGATAAAAAAAAAAAGAAGGTTACCCCATAGTTCTCTTTTAATCACTTAATGATGCACTTTAATCACTTTGCATCACTTGCAAAAATCAGGCTGCATACACTGATTGGCCAGATTTTTATGACCACCTGACGTTTGTAGGCAAATTAGCTATAAGCTATAATTTTGCGCTGAAGTTGCTAGAGGGCCAGGCCATTATAAATAATTAAGCAGGTTGTTTAACATGACAGTAGAAGTGATTTTTTTTCTGAAGATATGGGTAAACAATGCAATTTAACAGCCTTTGAACGCGGGACGATTGTTGGTGCTCAGAGCCATGGCGCGAGTAACAGCAAAACAGCAGAATTCGTTAAATGTTGAAGAGGAGCTCATTGTTAAAGTGTTTAAAGACTGGACTGTCAGCCGAAAATCTGGGTCTGAACGTGCAAATTGTGGCCGTCAGCGACTAGTCAATGTTAGGGCAGAACGGAGAGTGGCAAGACTGGTACAAGACAACAGAAGGGCAACAGTGCAGTGTCAGATTCCTCGCATCACCTTTCAACATCTCGTGGAGTCACGAGGCGGCCCAACGAAGTCATCTCGTGGAGTCATCTCATGGCCCAACGAAGTACTGATGGGGTGGTCATAATAATCTGGCCACTCAGTGTATAGCTACCCTAATGACAAAGTATCTAAGCAAACATACACATAATGAACTGGAATCACTCTGCATCGCAAGGGTGGAAGAAGAGCAATCTGTTTAGATCTGTAAAAATGAAGTCAAGGCAACTGGACTTGCTGTATGTTTCTTGAAGACATTTTACTGGTCATCCAAACGTCTTCAAGAATAATACAGAAAGTCCAGATGCCTTGACTTAATTTTTACAGATATAACATGACCTGGATGAATGAGAACATGTACAGACACAATCTGTTTAGTGTTCCTGGGAGCAGATATCTTTTCTCCTTGCACATAATCCTATTCACGCTTCTCTCATGCTAGTGTAAATGACAAGGAGAAAGATACTGCACAGTGCATCCAATTGCTTATGCGACAGACGAAACAGCTAGGCGACATCAGATTGGTTAGTATAGGTCAGGCGTAGGCAACCTTGGCACTTCAGCTGTTATCCATGAGTTATTGCAAGATTGTGATAGTCACAGCCATGATAGGATTTGTAGTTTAATCGCAGCTGGAGGGCTATATAGGTTGTTGCTGTTTTTTTTTTTTAATAGCAAAAGTACAATCAGCCAATCTTATCAAGCTATTTCTCTCATTTACACCATTATGGAATGTGAATACTATTTTAAAGTGAACCAACCACATATTAGCCTTGATATAACGCAAAGAGTGAAAGTAGGAACCTATCCGTGTCTGCAGATAACTTTATATTCCTCAGATCCAGGCCATCACACCGAGCAGCTAATAGTGTGGCGCAAGAGACAGGTAGGGCCAGGACAAAGCTCTACATTGCAGCCCCTGGAAGATATTGCCTATATGCACCTGCTGCTTACTCATGCTAGCAGTTGGTAGATTTATACTAAGCAGGTTTTATATGTTTTTAAAAGTATATGGAACTTTAAGGCTTATGCTGCGCAGGAAATATTTTAGCTTTACATTTGTGAATTTAAAAATGACAGCGATTGATCATTTGCACACATATCAGGAGCACAATAAGATCACTAGGCAATAAGCTACATAGTCATAAGGTGCCATATACCTTGCGATTATCGTTTGGAAATTGAAGAACGCGTTTTTGAACGATAATTGGCCAGTTGATGGGAAGTAATCGATCACGATTACTGTACAACTGGGCGAATTTCCTCGATCGGTCAGGCTGGAATTGTGCGAAAATCAATGGATTAGTGGTGTTTTCGTACGGGGGGGGGAATGAAAATCCGTTCTGCTGATTGATAAAATGCGGCCAATTAGTATTACTAACGAACGATAATCGAAATCTACATTGCTCTGTGCATGATGGGGCAGTCGTGCAGAGATCGAACGGGGGGTTGGTACGAAAACAGGACGAAAGAAATCCGACACTCATAAGGTGGCCACCTTTACAGGGATTACTTGCTACACCTCAGAGAACCATAGGGATCCCACAACATAGTGATCAATTAAAGGCCTATTTTAGCCACAACCAAGTGATTGAAAACTGTAAGTGTAGTTTCAGGTGTTAAGTTGCAGAGCTAGATTCTTGCCTTGGTAGATCTAGAAATAGAATATAGATATAGAATGTACTGGATGCCATACTTTCTACAAGCTTGCTTGTACTTATTGCTTTATTCATTTAACAGCAAATAAGGTTTGGAGGAAATCCCTAAATTTCAAACTTGCTTTGCTGTTCAGAAAGCAACACATGAGATTCTAACCTCTGTGCAGAATTAGCTCACAGTAACTGCTTAATCATCATTGGTATTGGTGGTACCGGGGAGGTAGGAGCTATGAACATGGTCACTTATTAACTTTGGATTAAAAAGAAAATGTTAACATAGGGTGTTACAACTGCAAGCCTCATGACCACTAACCTTGGGGGGTGGCTGGGGGGAAATATATATTCTTTTTCGTCTCCTATTAATATCCCATTCTATTTGGCCCCTAGCCAAACACTTTGGCTAAAAGCAAATCATGTCACAGGCTTACTGGTGCCTCCGCCCTCTCCTGCTTCATACCAATAACTGGCTTCTAGGTCTTCAATCGTCAGTCTCATGCAAAAAAAACTCAATTCCAAATAACTAAGCCATCAACTCCTCACCATGTACCCTCACTAAATTAGCCCAACATCATTGTCAATTATCTATACGAGTCTACAGGCAAAGTTCAGAGATTACTTACCTACGTTCAAAACCAAGTGGCAAAGAGACCTGGGACATACTATTATACGTGACGAGTGGGTGGGATAAAACCTTTTTACCCACAAATCCTCAAGAAAATGTAGCCGTGCAAAAATCAGAACTACTAGGACACCTTGTTAGGTACCAGTTGGTGAGCTGTCCTATGTTCTGGAAGTCCTCTACCACTCCCCCAACATCACTGTGGGTCAGCACTTAACGATATCATGCAGAAAAAGGAAGCTTTAAGCTTTGGATTCAGACACCCTATAGAAAAATTCTGTGCTCAGCGGCTTCTCTGGTTGCACTTCTCTGACTCCCACTAAACTGAAAAAAAAAACTAAGCCCCCTAACCTACTTTTGTCTGCAGGCAGGCGGAGCCTATATCTCGATGGCTGTCCTGGAAGATGACTGGGGAAAAGTGGCTTTGGCAATGCCATATTACCCGAGCCGTACAGCTAGGTGCGTATTGTCTATAACTCACTGCTAGTACTATTCACAGATGTGGAGCTAGCAGTCCCCTCCGTCACTTCTGCATCTACTTATTTATTCCTTAGTTATACCTATAATTCTTAAATCAAACTAGTAAGGTTTACACATTGTGCTGTACCTCTTTTATCGTGGGCTGCATTTTGTATACCATGTACTACATTTCAACCCAATTGTCTCTTGAAAATATATATTTAACCAAAATAAATGTTCTGAAGTTGACTTTAAAAGAGAACTAAACCCCCCAAAAAAGGCAGAAAGAGGACAAAGGACAACTCCTGCAGCTGATCTTTCCCCCATTACTGACTTACCATGACTTGTGTTGCACTGTTTATTTTCTTCCTCATGTCAGAGCTTCAAGCAAGGAGTAAGCAGCACAATAGTGACATCAGTCAGAGGCAGCAGTGCCTTAGATCTGACATTGCAGATAGCAAGTATGCACAGTTGCATACATGGAAGTGCACTGCTATGTTTCAGAAGGTACTGTTTAAGCCCAACAAAGTTTCTAAATTATCCCTATAACAAATTTTTACTTTTTGAGTTTACTTGCACTTTAAGAGGCTGCTTCAAACCTATGCACGTGTTGTACATGTGTTTTGAGGGTGCTCCCACAGACACACACCAATGTACGAACTATAAATTTATGAAGACAAGTGAAAGTGTGTTTAGCCCCATACACAGTGGGCAGTTTAATTTGTTGCAGTCAACGAAGGTTCGCGTCCATTACAATGTATGTATTACACACAAACCAGTCAACTTAGACAAAATACAGAAGTATACAAAAATACCTAAAATGCCCCATCTGGCAAAAACAAGAAAAATCTAACTGTACAATTCAAAATAAAAGCAAAATAATTGAATTATTTTCATTATTCCTCCAAAAAGTTCTCAATCAATATGGTAATGGTAATGCTTGCACTTCTTCCATACATTCATTGTACGAGTCTTCGTATTCACTGTTTGGCTTGATCAATATAACACAGGTAGGCCGCTTGGAGCCAGCTGCTGCACCCAAGTCCTGTAAGTAACAAGAAAATGGTTGGTAAATTACTGTTACATAAAAGGTCCAAGATCAGATTGCATAAACAGATGTCAAAACACAGTCATTTTTAAACTGAGGAGTGTCGAGTCCTTATAGGGAACCTGTTCAATGGTAAAAGTCAGATAAAAATCACGTATTTAAATGCAGCATTTTTCCACCCCATTTTTTGTTCACTTTTAATGTGCCTTTGGACCTGCTAGAAAATGTAACTATCCAAGTCAATTCCGTAGCACACCCCCTCATCTTCTGGAAGTGTCTAATTCTCTCCATGCTGGCCCAGCTCCACCTCCCCTCCATAACCTTTTTTATGTAGCTGCCTGGGAAGGAGTGTCACTTGTGTATGGGCTCTGCGGTCTGCATCCGACACAGATGCAGACCGTGGAGCTGCTCCCGCAAGTCAGGTGCGCGGTCTGTGACCGTGTGCCTGACATGTCAGCTGTCTGCGGGTCACATAGTACTGGCTCGCGGGCTGGAGTTGGCCTGCGGACCGGTACTTGGAGACCCAAACTTTCACTTGCCCTCACTTCATTTTACTCGCCACTGGCGATTGGAAATTTTGAGCCCTGCATTACAATATCAACAAAAACATAGTAAGATTAATAAAACTGCTTTCAAAGTAAATAGTCAAAGGAAGTCGCATTCTTGCACAAGCACATATGTGACAATTTCACATTAAAGGGAAGCTGTCAAGATACAAAAATATATATTTTGTATCTTGGCTGGTGAGGCTAAAAGAAAAAATCACTTTTACTTTGGCCCAGTTGCCACTGAGACAGGAGGCATTAGGAGATTAAAAGAACACGGATGTCTCCATAAAGACAACCTGTCACTTCCTCAATATGTCAGCAATTTCTAAATAAGTGACAGGTTGTCTTTTTGGAGACATCTGTTCTTTTCGTCTCCTAATGCCTACTCTGTCTCAGTGGCAACTGGGCCAAAGTAGAAGTGATTTTTTTTACCTGTATAGGGACCCTTTGTCATTTTTACAAAAGAAAAAAAAGCCAGCTATTACATTTTACATGCATGTTTGAACCCTGTGATTGCCAAGACATAGTTTAAGACCATAGTAGTCAAGGGTTAAAATGAAATGCACTTAACAGAACAAATTTTAAAGGTAATTAATGTATTTGCAAAATATCATTGGGACACTCACAGATTTGGATGGGATGTATGCATATGGAATTCCACGATCCTCACACATGACAGGCACATGGCAATAAACTTCAATGGGAAGGGTGTCTCCAGCAAGCACGACGATTCTGAAATAGAAAACATCATTCAACATTATGCAGCAAAAAAAAGTCAAATTAATGGGATTTCTCTAATTTCAGACCAAAAGAACCCTGTTCTGACCTCTAGTAATTAGGGTCCTGATAGAGCTCCAGTATTCTAACGCAACACTGCTCTGATGGCTAGGTGTCACTTACAAGTAGTGACAAAGTGCAAGACATAACTTTAGTAAACTATGAATAAATACACGAATATACTTAAAGTTTACTACTTCATTGCATAAATAAATGTAACCTGTCTTGCTGTGTAATGTTAAAGCGACACTAAACTCCGAAATAAAATAACTTCTATGATATATAAAAAAAAATCAGACGGTTTACATTTTCTTCTCATTGTTTAGCTCTAAATGCTCCAACATACATTTTATTTTTCTCCAGCCACAACTTCCTGCCAGAGGGTGGCTACTTTTCTTCTTCATGGTCCCTATGCGAGCTGAAAAGTTGCCACCCTCTGTGCTGGTTCATGTGAAGGACTACAACATGCTGAGGGCGTGTCTTCTCAGTCTCCACCCACAAATCCTCTTCAGTTCCTGCTTATTCAACATTACAGATGAAGTCCAGTGGAATGAGACTACTACTAGCTTTTGGTGGTAGGCTGCATTGATCCACTCATCTTTCCATCTAGATGCCTACACTTTATACCTTCAAGCAGCTTTCTATATTTTTAAGTGACGGTCTCTTCAATGATATAAACAAACATCTACATGAGTTGATGTTTTATGTAAAGTTTAGAGATTAACTTACCCTTTTTCTCCTTTATTGATGAACTTCTGCACCTCTTTTACACCCCTCCGAATATTCTTATGCTTGATGGCTGTAAGAAAAAAAAAAAAAAGGAAATTAAATGGATGGCAACATGTTAATGCTGACCAAGTATGCACCTGACCCGCTCCTCCAATCAGCTAATTAAACCCTGTTTAAGGGAGGCCAACTGAAAGGGTGCAGAAAGCGTCACCCACTGTGCTTATTTCAGCCAGTTCCTCAAAAGCCGGCCGAAATTAGCAGAATGTATGGTCAGCTTAAGTGACCTAATCCTGGCCACACCAACACCCCTATATGGTCTCATGTCACTATATGTAGGAAGGTGACTGACAGTGACTAGCACCACAGAAGCCACACTGCTAATTTCCTTCCACTTTGATTTGGCACAAGAGAAATATCCCAACTCCCACACAGAGAGAAGGACAATGACATGTGCTGGTCCTGCCTTTAATAGACACCCAAAAGCCTGGAGCCTGCTGCGGGGCACAGCCATCTTGGATTTGATGGAAGCAGCCCATATATGCACAGAGCTGTCACTTAAGTGACCCTATAACAATACAATTGTTAAATAATTGTAACAAATCTGGACGGAGTGTTTGTCAGTGGATTAGGCTCCCCGTCTACACAGGGAACACTGCCCATATCCAGACACTCGTAGTGGGTGGTAAGTGCCGGGTGTGAAATGGTGATGGGGCTCCCTCTATTCGGTCTAACTGCCAAAGCACATATCTATACACTTTGCAATATACCCATGCTTTATATCTATATGAATTGATTGAATATACCATTTCTTGTTAGATTAGTCCATGATCCCATGATGAAGCAATGTGTGAAACGCATTGGGACTGGACACTGGGACTGATCTCCCACTGAATATGCACTGAGCTCTAATGGAAATACATATGATCTATGGGTTTAAGTGTGTGTGTGTGTGTGTGTGTGTGTGTGTGTGTGTGTGTTCACATGCGTTTTTTTAAATATGTAAAATACAAATATTTTCATACGAAAATTTGAAGCTGTGGTGTTATGCCTCGCAAAAAAACCCTAAAAGCAGGGGTGGCAAACTCTGGCCCTCCAGCTGTTGTGGAACTACAAGGCCCATGAGGCATTGCAAGACTGACAGTTGCAACAATGACTGAGGCAGAAGCATATTGAGATTTGTAGTTAAAGCACAGCTGGAGGACTGGAGTTGCCCACCCCTGCTCTGAAGTATCCCCCCACGGCTACAAAAAAAGCTGTATAGGTAAAGGGAGCACCCAGAGCAAAGACAAGGCAATTTGCCTGGTTTACAATCAGCACAGTTCACACTTTGCAGTAATGGCATGCAATCCATGGCACCGAACCATGCTGAGGCCGAAAGATCTGAATGAAATGTGGCTTTGACATATTTCAATAAAGTTCTAGCACATAAAAAAAAAAAAAAGTGCAAAGAGCAGTTTTCCGTGCAGCGCCCTCAGAGCACACGTGGCTGCGTACTAACACAGCTGCTGGTGAAGACAGGACAAATGCTGCAAGTGAGCATTTTAAGAAGTTTTTATGCTTTTTAGCTGCAATTTAAGTTGGTGTCAGATCTCTCTACGTTCTGCTACCCTGCTCCTAGCCGACTGATCCCTACCAATGTAAATCTGGAGAGTTCTCCAATACACAGCCTCATGCGGCCTTTACATGTTATACATGCCTGGGTTAGCAGGAGCCCACACTCGAGCAACAATTACATATTACACTCTCCATTATACAACACACCGCTCCGATCAAATAGCAGGGCCGGCTTAGTGCGATATGCTGTGCATTGTCAGCTCTGAACGCCCTCCACATCCCCGTCTATACCTTTCTTGATACACTTGTACAGTCTCTTGGTAAGTTTCCGTCCTGCGAGCGGCTGGGCGATGGGGTTGAGTACGGTCGGTGTCTCTTCATGTGTCTGCTCCGGTGCAGTTTCCGCTTCTTCCTCGTCATCCCGCCGCTTCTCTTTCTTCACCTTGGTCATGCTGAAAACTGGGAGCCACTATCACACACGTGTTCTCTACACTCTTCCACAACGTCCGGCGGAAGTGCGGCGTAGGGTGGAGCATGTGCTTTCTATAGGAGGTGGCTGAGGGAAAGGCAACTTCCGTAGGCCATCTATGGTAAAACTACAAATCCCATAATGCATCTGTCTCTTGGAGTCATAGTGCTATCTCTCAGAGTCTTGCAATGCTGCATGTGAATTGTAGTTCCACAACAGCTGGCATGCTTACATTGACTACCCTTTGCTGTAATGTGATCAGTCTTGTATTAGGTATTAGAGATGTTTGTGGGCTTGGTGTGAACCTAGTTTGACCAAGGCTGCGCAAAACTGTACTTTGATTAATACCCTGCCCCAGCCTGATCATTTGTGCCCAGGGCATTCCCTTATGTGTAGCTGTTGGGGTGGGGAATGTCCCAGCTGCAACTGATCGGGGGGTCAGGAGGAGGGGGGGGGGCTGGGGTGCCACTGACAGGCTTGGCCAAACTCCATCCAACTGGGTTTCCACCAAGCCCACCCCACTAATAGTTATGATAGGCCTTTTGGAATGGAGTGAGAGGCCTAATTAAAAAAAAGTGGACCTTGCTTTTTTCTGCAAGCTCCGTTTTAAGGCCTTCTGCACATACCATGTACCATACGCAACATATGCAAATAAATGGCTCCATACACAAAGCCGCGTATGGAGCCGTTTATTTGCATAGCGTATATATGCGCAAAAACAGAATGGAACCGAGATGCGCCTGGGCAGCGTATTTCTGCGTATTTTACGTGCATACGCATGTTTGCGCGTGTGTATATGCGTACAGCTCATTAAAATTTCCATTAGGAATTATGCATTCTGGGAATGCAAATAGTGCACGCATATACGCATAGACGCTCGTATATACGCAATATACAAATTTGCTTGCATTGTGTGTGAATGAGGCCTAAAGCAGAACTAAAGTCAGCATATGCATGCTAAATAAAACATAAGCCCACCTTAAAAGCATTAAAGAAGATGTCTCACTACACATTTTCTTGTTTCCTCCTATCCTCCTGCTGACAACGTGCATGTAGTACCTTTGTCCCATCTTTCTAGCTTGTTTCATTGCTGAGTTTCAGTGGTTGACAGAGCCTTTCCCCGCCGCTGCCTGACCACACATCTAGCAAGGAGACGAATATTAAATTAGCCCCCAGTCACTTCCCTGAAACAACAACCATCAGTAGCTACACAGAGGGAGCCCTGTTCCACCCCCTCTGTCTCTCTCCCTAGGATGCAGGCCGCACAGAATCGTTGGTTGCTTTGAGAAAGGTGCCAGGCTGCACAGCATTGTTGGTTGCTTTAAAAAAGTTGCTAGGCTGCACAGCATCGTTGGTTGCTTTGAGAAAGGTGCCAGGCTGCACAGTATCGTTGGTCGCTTTGAGAAAGGTGCCAAGCCACACAGCTTAGTTGGTTGCTTGGACAAAGGTGCCAGGCCACAGAGCATCCTTGGTTGCTTTGAGAAAGGTGCCAGGCTGCACAGTATCGTTGGTCGCTTTGAGAAAGGTGCCAAGCCACACAGCTTAGTTGGTTGCTTGGACAAAGGTGCCAGGCCACAGAGCATCCTTGGTTGCTTGGACAAAGGTGCCAGGCCACAGAGCATCCTTGGTTGCTTGGACAAAGGTGCCAGGCCACAGAGCATCCTTGGTTGCTTGGACAAAGGTGCCAGGTTGCGCAACATCATTGGTTGCTTGGAGAAAGGTGCCAGGTCGCACAGCATCGTTGATTGCTTGGACAAAGCTACCAGGCTGCACTGCATCCTTGGTTACTTGGAGAAAGTCACCAGGCCGCAGAGCATCGTTGGTTGCTTGGACATAGGTGCCAAGATGCACCACATGTCCCCAGCACAGCTCTGCTTGTGCTATTCATAGTTATCAATTAGCTGTTATGTTTGCTGTGTATGTTAGATAATTTAAACCATTAGACCCCATTCATACAGACTTTTATGGGCTGGCAGGGGATCTGTGGATTCTTGCGGCTGGAATGAAAGGTGGTTCCGGACAGCTCCAGCTGCTCAGCTTCTACAAAGCAATGACAGGCTGACCAACACTATCCACATGTATCTGCATATCTCGAGGTTACCTGCATCTAGGGACAGATTCCAGAAATCCACTGCCAGCTCATAAAAGCCCATGTGATTGGGTCCTAGAAGCAGAAGTAACTCCCTGAGCCCATCGGATGTACTTCATGGAATACGGTTAGTGAATCCTGGCCATTTTCAGAGCTAATAGGCAGACTACTGTCAAAAAAGTTACGGAAAGCTGGCCACTGATGTTGGGAAAGATTGCTTTGTCTAGGTCCTAAAATAAAAATGTTATATCATCAGATCCTTGGAGCTAGCTTGCTCTTAGACCGGTCCCTGAAGTCTCTCTACCCCTGCTCTGCAGCGGCATAAGGATACTTGAGTCATCACATTCTATACACTACTGCTGCAGCGGGACATACTATCGCTGCAGTGGAGAGAAACTTCAAGGACGGTGTTCTATCAAAGATTGTGACTGGGTTGGAATGTGTGACCGGTCACTTGGTAACACATTTGAAGGTAATCCCGCCCAGTTTTTCGGCAGTGGAATATGTGACCGGCAAAAGGTGAAGAATTCCAACACTTTCTCAGCTGTTCCAGGGCAGATCAGCAACGCAGATCTATGTGCAGGAGAACCGATCTGCCTTGAAACAGCTGATCGGTCTTGAAATATCACTTCTAAAAGACTTTGTGGAATGTGAGATCGCAGTCACAAAGTCACATTTCAGGACCGATCAGCTGTTCCAGGACAGATCGGTTCTCCTGCACATAGATCTGCGTTGCTGATCTGCCCTTGAACAGCTGAGAAAGCATTGGTATTCTTCACCTTTTGCAGGTCACATATTCCACCGCCGAAAAAACTGGGCGGGATTACATTAAAATGTGTGACCACGTGACCGGTCACACATTCCAACTCCAAAAAACTGGGCGGGATTACATTAAAATGTGTGACCGCGTGACCGGTCACACATTCTAACGCAGCCACAAACTTTGTTAGAACACTGGAAGTAGCAGCCAGCCACCTCCAAGATTTCGGGTGAGTTTAATTTATTTTAAGCACCTAGACGAAAATGAGAACTTAACCCTTGCAGTGCAAGGGTAGCCCCACTGCAAGGGTTAAGAACATTTTTGCCTAGAGTTCTTTACAGTACAGTCTTCTAACTGACCTCAATCTCGGTCTATGCAGTATTTTAGCTTTCCCTGCAAGAACTTCCAATTCACTGACACTATGGCTGCTCTGTGCGCCCTTTTTTTGTTAATCAGGGGGGCTAGCCCTCCAAAAAAAACCCTGCTATGGTCCTTATATGCCTGCATGACATAGTTCAAAGGCCATGCAGTGCATTATAATTAAAAAATCTTCTCTTGGGCAAATTTGCACATAAATTCACTGGGGCCGTGAATCTCGAACACAGTGCAGGTTTTGAATGCTGTGTGCGGGTTTCATGGCAGCAGAAAACCGGACACAAGATGTCAGGCAGACAGGGGCAACCAAAATGAAGATAGCGGCTACTGGCCCTCCACTGAAAATAGTCTTGACTGTGATATTTACATATGAATGGATGGCACTATTTACATATGAAAAAGCCGCGACTCATTCTCCCAAAAAATGTCCGCCCGTCACTAGAGCGTTCGGGTTTCGCTTGAAGAAAAGGTGGCAACCCTAGTTGCATCTATGGGCGTGTTTTTGTTTTTTGTGTGGATAACCCAGTGAAAATGTAAGAGGAGAATGAATATTCTTTAAGATGTACCTGATGAGAACTGACAAATTACAAGAAGTATGAGACCAATAGTCACTTATCCATTATATTGGATCAAATCTACCGGTATCTGTGTAGACTAAGCCATGCAGACCACTGCCCTCTATGCGTTACCATCACTGTACTACAACTCCCGACAGCCTCAGCTGTGCTCGGATTGCCTCATCTCACCGCGACGTCGCATCCTTTCTAGGCTGTATTGTGGCAAGGAAAATGGCGGCGGGGGTCGGCAGTAAGTGTATTGTGGCGATGGCAGACAAATAAATATAGTAGTTAATAGAAAGTACGAATGTTGTTACTGTGGTAACATGTACGGTTCTTTTATCGTTTATTTGCATAACATTACGCTGAATGTGCTGACATGTTTCTGTTCTCCGGTTAGAGCACAAGCTGCTGAACGCAGGTCCCACCGAGCCATGGTCCATCCGGGAGAAGCTGTGCCTCGCCTCCTCAGTCATGCGCAGCGGCGACCAGAACTGGTGAGTGACGTGACCCGAAGTCTGATCACGGGAGACCTGTGATATAGCTGGCACTACAGGGAGGTGGTGCTGTCACACACTGAAGTCTTCCAACTGTGTCCATGCAAGGGAAAAAGACACTAACGTCCTGATCACACTTGTGAAACTCAGAATTGCAGGGATATGCATTGCAAGATCAGGGTACTTGAATTGCATTAACAAAATGCATAGCATCCTCTATTCTGTCTAAAGCTAGGTATACCCTAAGATCAGATTTCTCCATACACAATAAATGAGAAACCTTCTGCTGCAGCTATTGTATTTGACAGGCCGGCTGCTAAAATATCTGAACAAAGTCTGTCTGATTGTATGCAGATGCTGTCCAGCTGACAATGTTCCCCTGGCTGCTTTGAAGCAAAGGATTTTGTGTGGTGCTGTATACACTGGATAAGAGAGAAGATTTTGTTGCACTCCTTACCGGATATCCCAAAGGTCTCGTTCACACCTAGGCGTATTGCATATGCGCGTCTGTCGCGCGTTTTTTTGCCACGATTTGCGGTAAAAAAAAGTTGCGCGTTTCCAAAGGCTACTTGGCTGTATCCCAATGGAAACGCACAACAAAACGGCCCAAAGTAGTACCTGTACCTTTTCAGGCGTGGGCCATTTGTAGCGCGTTAGGGACGGGCGGAAATACGCCAAGGTGGGAACAAGACCATTGACTACAATGGGATTTATATTTTTGAGCGTTTTGTAGAGCGTTCGTCGAGCGTAGAACGCGCTACAAAACGTTCAGGTGTGAACGAGGGCAAACACAGGGGAGGGTGCTCGTATTGACTGCTATATACAGCGCTGTATACATAGATTTGTAGTGAGGAATGTCACCAGCACACTGAAAATCCTTGCAGGATCACCTAATGCTAATTTTATTGAACAGTTTGTCAGAATGAAAACAAGCGCTTTTCGGGGCCGAGCAGGGTCCCTTCATCAGGCTTAACATTGACGGGACCCTGTGCAGCCCCGAAAAGCGCTTGTTTCATTCTGACAAACTGTTCAATAAAATGAGCATTTGGTGATCCTGCAAGGATTTTCGGTGTGCTGGTGACATTGTTCACTACAAGTGCTGTATACATTGTCGTGACCGCCGTGATTTACATCATGTCACGGTTGACAAGCAGTGACGCTTGTCAAATGCAGCCGTTGCAATGAATGGGACCACACTGCAACCGCGTGAGTACGTGGTTGCGGCACGGTATTTTAACAGAAAATCCGTGTTTGGGTTAAAATAAAACTGCATTCAGGAGGTGGCAATATTACCTCCTGAACGCTGAGCAGCCACTGCCACCCGTGTGAACTCAGCCTAATTGACTACTATTTTTTAAGTTTAGTCAAAATAATTAACTTTAATAAAATTGAAGTCCACACAGACATGCAGATCTGTAGTTATTAAGGGCTGGTTCACACCATCTCCATACTGGTGGTGCTTTTTATCTGCACAAAAATACATACATAGTAATTCCAATTATTTTAAATTAAGCTAGTTCATACGATTATATTCAGTTCCAGAGCTTTCAAAAAAAGTACAGCAGCATGCGATTTTTGTTGTTGTTTTTTTGCACTGGAACGCACAAAAACAAATGTAAAAGCACCAGAATGCAATGGAACATGCTTTAAACCCAAGCAAAACCAATGGGATCAAACCCCCCACACAGACGCATCAAAAATGCACATAAATGTAAATGCGGAAACGCATCTAGTACTGGTCAGGAGATGGTGTAAACAAGCCCTAATACATAATTAAATGTATTTTTTTTTAATACAAGGAGTGCAAGTATCTGAATTAGATCTGGTATCTGCCTCCTGTAGTCCCTGTACACCAGGGCTGGAGTAAGAGAGGAAAAAGCAGAACAAGGAGCTCATCAGTTCATGTGCTGAGAAGAAGAGAAAGCAGAGAGAGAGAAATGATCACATGTGCTGTGCGGCTTCTCCTTTCACTGTCAAGTCAAAAATGAATGGCAAAAGCTGGCTTTATTGGATCTTTTAATTGGTTATTTGTTTTTAGTTTGTTATTTTTTTTGGCTGGAGTTCCGCTTTACATATAATATTACTAAAATGGAACTCAATAGAGCTGCAGTAGTTTAATATGCTCCTTAGTTGTCATGTTTATCTGATCCCGTTGAAAACATTAGATCAGATCGCGATTTTATAGTTTTAGCTTTCAAAATAAAATAAACTATGGAAATGTAAAAAAAATTGCAACATATGTTCTTATATTTCAGGGTGTCTGTAAGCCGTGCAATCAAACCTTTTGCAGAACCAGGGCGCCCTCCTGATTGGTTCTCCCAGAAGGTAAATACATTTAAGTGTAGAATATTTTTCATGGTAATTCCACATATATCCTAATTGCAGTTTCTATTTGGAGTGTATATGATTCCACATTCGGTAAGTGTATGTGAACCCACAACAATGTACACTATCCCATGCGTTAACATGCATTGCATTATAACTTACCAAAAAACAAAAATGTAATATATTGCAGCTTACCAGTCCTTCGATGTGGTGGCTGCATTCAATTCAGCTTTCCAGCTTAGGAACATTTTTTAGCAAATGTAGAAAATTACATTTTTATTTTGGGGTTTAGGTGTGTTCTAAGGTAGCCCATTTATTTGAGTGGGTTGCCAATGCCCTCCAACGCAGTGAAAACAGATATCTAATATTTTTAAGGACACAGCACACCACAACGAATGGTAATGTGTCACCTTGTGTTGTGGTGGTCTGCAGTGCAGGTGCTTAGAAGGTGTTTCCGTTTAGTGCATTGATGTGCTATTTTAAACTGAATTGCACCGCAGTACATGTTTTTCGGTCACATATGGTAAAACACAGGTTTTCAAGCAAGATATAAATCTGAATGGGCCCTTAGTCAAGTATAATGTTGAAAATTGCTGATATTATTTACTATTAGTTTTATAGTTGACTCTTATTATTTACATAGTGGCTCTGGGTATTCCTTACAACTAATTTTGTGTTGTTTCTAGCATTGTGCCTCGCAGTACTCGGAGCTGCTGGAAACCACAGAGACCCCAAAGTGAGTATCTATTCCTCTTGTACCACCTGAAAGATATCCTTTTGAGCAAGACATTTTGGAAATTTGAAACGATTTCTTCCCATAATTTTCCTTTGCCTGACTGTCTTGCAGACATGATTATAATCCTAGTCACTGACCTGAAACAGCAAGTAAATACATCTTCCAATGTGCTTACTTGTTCCAGGTCAGTGAGTCATAGTATTGATGTCATGGGATCAGTGTGATAACCAGCCAACTAGCATTTTCTGAAGGAGAGATCAACAGTGGCAGCCCCAGATTTCTGATAGATTATGTTTCTTTAAAATGTGCTGCTTGAAAATATAGCTGTTTTATATTGAGAAAGAAAGACCACACATTTTTTTTATAAAGTGCATTTGTGGCTAGACTATGTGCATTAAGTATTTACCTTTTTTTTTTAGGCAGTAAAAACAGCTTAAAAATAAAACCTTACTGACCTCTCTAGATGCATGTACTGTGAAGTAATTAATTCCCAAAGATTACAACAACAAAGACTCTAAAATCAACCTCAGTCATTTAAGAGAATGGAGGGCTATCAGGCTGCTTCCATAAAAATTAAAGGGCAAAGGAGATGTCTCTGTTGTAAAATATAAAGATGAGTTTCTCCACAATGCCTATGGCTACATAGGTAAATGAGGGCATGTCTTAAAGTGCTTTTACTGCTTGTTCGGAATATATAAGCACTTTGGTAGGAATAATCTGGGCACAGGTTAACTTTCAGTGGTATGGTAGTAGTTGTACTTAGCTAGGCCTAAACTGTTAATTAAATCGATTTATTGTTTGTAGGCAGTATCCACCTCTGCAGCACATCGAAATCCATATTTTGCTAATAAGACCAGCAAAAAACAAGTCAACAACAAATGTAATTGTCAATGTGACCCTGGCTTAAAGGTTTCTATTTGGCTCTGTTAAGTAGAAGTTTGTAGCCCTACTGTGCATCTCATTTTATTTTTAATTTCCAGACGGAAACGAGGGGAACGAGGAGAGGTTGTAGAGACCGTAGAAGATGTAATTGTACGGAAACTGACAGCAGAAAGAATTGAGGAATTGAAGAAGTTGATTAAAGACACACAGGACAAATACAGGTGTTCTTTTTATTCTTAAAACATATTTATCCCTTCATATAGATAATTACTCTAAGAATGTGTGCTGCTTCACTGTGGTTTGTACCCATTTACTAACTGCTTGTTAACATCTACTTTTTTAACATCTGATCCCCGTTGCTTAGTCTGCTTATTTTTCTTTTTTACTTGAATATCAAATTTTTATTTGATACGCCGGCAATCCAGCTCCTACTAAACAATGAGGCAATTTGCATTTTCAGAAGCGGTCAGAAATGGCAGCCTCTGTATTTTTTTCAACCCAAGTTCCATTGAAACGTATGAGCTGTGGATTGGGCGTGTTCAATGAGGCTTGTTTGTTATATGACTTCATTGACTACTCCTTGTGTAATCCTTGTACAGCACAATTAATTATGGTGTTAGAAAGCATTAATAATAAAAATTAAGCTGATAAATTTGTCGACAATATACATTTCTCTTTTATTAGGAAGTTGAAAAAGGAAGCAGAACTGATTCAGAGTGGTCACATGGACAGCAAACTTGAAGAACTGTGGAACGACATTGCGGCGTAAGTCCTT